CCGGACAGGGTTGCCTACAGTATGGTCCATGCTAACTTCGCACGCCTGTATTTTCTCCTTGCAATTTAGTGATAAAAAACATAGTGAATATACCTTTTCACTTTTTGAAGTACACATAACACTCGGATTTAAATCCGAGGTTTTCGCATTTATTTTATTAGAAGAAAGAAAAAAATGACTCTATAGTTCTATATTTGTCAGGATGCTTTTTTAGAGTTTGGAATTTAACTGCAAGAAGAGACAGTTATTTCGGTGAATATTCAATACAAAACTGGAGAAACACACATTTTTGTGTACTCGCTGTTTCTTAGATGAGAAATACAACAACGAGATATAACTGTACGTTGAATTTTTCTTTCTGAGATTGGTGAATAAATAGTTGAAAATCTGATCGCTCACTTGCTTATGTACAGGAAAAGTGTCAGGTATTGGTGCAAAAATCTCGGATTTTGATCCAATGGCATCCAGGTCTAAATTTGTAACTTTTTTCAGGTTCGAATCCTCAAAAAAACGTGCACTTGCAGTTCCCTACTGTAGAGGAAATATATTATACTAAAATGAGCTGTTGCTTGAATATTCATAGTTCGTGAGAGTCTAATCAATGATCTTGAGATGTTCCTTTGTACAATGTTGTATCAAATGTTTCGATTTTATATACAAGTGACAATTTTAGTCCAAATATAAAACATGAACAAGATTCATGCTAAAATATATTGATGGCTTTTCTTCTTTTAATAGCTTTTGAGTATTCAATTTATTACATAAAGTTCATAAAAAAAGAATATAATAAAGATTAGTATGAAAAGAATTTGATCTCATACGCACATAGGATCCGCTCTGCAATCATGTAAACAATTACAAAGAGACAACAACGGCTGATGATAAAATATTCAAGTCACCAGTAGAAAGAAATTTTGTAATCTGATCTTGTACTGTACAAAATTAGATTAGACTGTCGATATTCATAAAAATAATGCAAACATTGCATTTGAAAGATAGATAGTTTTACTTGCAGGAAATTTCTATTTTACAATTGTAACTTTGAGCAGGATATTTATATCAAAATATGATCAATTTCCAGAGCTTCGAGCTGTAGAATCTGAAAGACTAAGATAAATATTATTTTTCTAAAAATTACTTTTTTGCAAAATCACTTTACTTTTCTGGAAAACTCTTTTAATTCGAAATTATAAGAGTAGATTGCCACAGTAGAGAATTCAAGTTATGGATGGAAGTATAACAGATCAATAGTCTGTGTGCTGCCACAGATTATAACAGCATCATAAGAGGTATGCACAAATTAATTAGGAGTTGATTTGAAACCCAACGTATATATAAGCGTCTCTTCTTCATGGTTTAAACAATTAAAAAAAAATGGTATTTATTGTCAAAAAAATATACATTTCACTCGAAGAGCACATGTTTCGGACGAGTAATTCCAATGACGCATTGAAAATTTCGATTTTGCCGATGTCTAGAGCCAGTTGTTCGTGTTACAGGGGAGGGAAGAAATCCTGAAAATATCATAAGCGGGAGGGTACGGATCAAAGATAGCTAAAAATCTGATCGTGCGTATTTTTAATAGACCGTATAAAACAAAACAAAAACAATGTACAGAACGTCTAGTTTATACCATAGATGACAACATCATAGATCTAATTGAATCATATTTTTTCGAGTATTTTATTTTGTTATGAAAATCTGATTAAAAAGAAAAAAATTCTTTTGTTTTTCTATTTTAGTTTCGAAATAGATATGAAAAATGTCAATATGATCTTGAACAAGCTATTAAAGACCGTGAAGTAGTGTCAAATAAATTCAAACTACTGCTTGATGGTTTGTTATCACAAAAATTTTCTTTATTGTTTTTTTTAAATATTCATGTTTTAGAAATGCATGATCGAGAAGAACAAATATCGGATTTACGTAAAAAAGCTGATGATGAATGTATGAAAAAAGAAGTTGTATGTAGTCATTTTTTAATTATAAAAAGAAAATTAATAAAACAAAGAAAAAGATTTTTTTTTGATTAATTACAGGCAATGAAAAAACTTCAAGAAATAGAATCAAATGCAATACAAAATAATCTATTTTTATCTCGGCGAACTAGTAGTAGGCGTCAACATGATTATGATCGAAGTGAACGTAATGTTGCACGACGTTTTGAACAAGCTTTAGAAGTCGTATGTTTTAAAAAAATTCAAAGCTTGTTTGTTTTTCTTTTTAATTCAAATAATTTTTTATTTTGACAAAAAAAAAAGGAATATGTGAAATATAAAAAATTACAAAATGAAAAAGATGAAGAATTAGCAACATTATCTGAAGATATAAATAAATTAAAACGTGAATTAAAAACACAAAAAGATGAAATTGAAAAATATAAACGAATACTTGAAACTCATGGATCAATTGATAATATTTCATTAACAAACGATAATCTAGATGATGATCGAGGTTCTTTGCTTTTTAATTTTATTTTAATTGAAAGAAAAATTAATTTGTTTTTGTTTTATTTCAAAAATAAATAGAAGACTTGGAAAGTTGGGTACAAATTCCAACGAGAAATATTCGTCGGGGTGGTGGTTGGAAAACACAATATGCTGTTATTACAAACAATAAATTCTTATTATATAATTCAGACAAAGACCAACTAGCAGCGATTTCTATTGATGTTGAGTAAGTTATTTTTTTTTTCAGCTTTAGAATATTCAAAGTTGAAATTATAGTACGGTACTACATCTTTAGATCCGATGAGCTCTAGTCTTCTGAGAAATGTGTGGCGTGCGCTAGTCATCGAATGCAAAGAAAAACGGGAAAAAAACATCCTCATCTCTTCCGATTAGAAAATTTCGTTGAGAATATCAAAGTATTGGCCAACTGGATCCGAGAAAAGCGGCTAAAAGCCTTTTGACGGTTTCAACTGATATATACATTATCAAGTTCTACTGCCTTATATTGACATCAGATATGAGGACAGGACAGGACATGAAGCATATATTTTTAAATTTCAGTTATCTTATAACAAATTTATTTCATAGTTTTTTTTTTAAGCGTCATTATTCTTTTCCTGAATAAAGGTAACTCGAAGTAGTTTACATATTCAAAGATTACTTGATATTCATTACTGTTTATGATTCGTTGTGATCTTTGTACATTTTTTCATTTTCTGTACGAAGTAAAACTGAGTTTCATTGAATTCATCACTCTTCAGGTGGAAAAGATAGATCTACTAAATACATATATTATTTCGCTAAGAATCTGACAAAAACATGAAAAACGAATGTAAAATAAAGCTCAATGTAAGCATTAATGAAAAGATAGCAATCTATTAGTTTTGTTCATGTTTGCATTGTGCATTATTTTATGTTTCTGATTGAGATTCTTGTAAACAATAGGAAAATGTTAGAATTTCTCATCATTTATTTTTATTTCTGTAGGTACGAGTCAAATAGCTCTTCACTATAGATAAGCGATGTTCTGGCCAGAACTGAGAATTAAAATGTAAGATTTAAAAATCTAGAAATTGAATTGAGATATTTGTTTCAAGATTTTTTCATACTTGTAACTAACAGAGTTCTTTTTGCTGCTTTGTGTTTACTTTACAAATTCGGTCAATTTTATAGATATATTCTTCCTCTGATGTTTCATAAATACAAGCAGCGACATTAACTAATCAGAGAATCATACGAATTAATTGATTACTTTTGAGTTGAATTTATCATATCCCTAAACTAAAATAATCTCAAAAGAAGTCATACATATATAAGTTTTTGAAAGCTTTCAGGCTATTCTTAAGATCATAAGACGTACTTAATGACAAAATTTTCAGATCAAAAAATTTTTCATTTAAATTTTTTATCAGTACTTCATCGTAAAGTAAAAATCCGTCAAAACGAAAGATGTGCATAACCGAATTAGATTTACCGAGGCCATATCCAGATTCATACGAAAACAAGTTTCCAAGACCGGTACGGATGAAAAAGAAATTACTGGGGCCGAAACCAAAAATAGTTCGGTCTTACCTATCTGTAGTCGTCACTGTGTAGAAAAGACCTACATACTTATATTCTTTTAAGATTATTTTAATCTAGTGCTCTTCTTTATATTCGAAAAAAAATGATCTTAGAAGTGATGAATTACTTCAAGTAGTTCACTCATAAACAAAAGACTTGCTACTACTAAATTTTGATGACTTAGTATTAATCTCATGAGATAATCATACTAAAATATGTTTTATTTTTATCATTTAGTCAACTTTGTCATGCTCGAGCTGTTACTCAAAGTAAAACAAATTTTGATAATTGTTTTTTTTTTTTGCTTGAATAAATAACATTCATAGGCGATGTTCTCCGTGTTGACCCAAATATGATACCAAAAATATTTCAAGTGCTATATGATAATGACGATCAAACATCATTCAATAGTTCAACAACAACAATGTCAAATCCAACGATTCACTCACAAGTAAAATTTCTCTTTAATTTAATCACAATCGTTTTTAAGTGGTTTTGTGTGTTTTTGCTTTGTCGTTTAGGATCAGGGTCGTCATAGTGATGAAACAATTGAATACAAAGATCATAGTTTTATTGTTGTTGCTTATTGTATGCCAACGCAATGTGAAACATGTAATTGTCCATGTTATGATGCTTTTTCTCCTCCTCCATGTCTTGAATGCATACGATGCCATGCTCGTTGTCATAAACAACATTATGATGATAAAGAAGAATTTATGTTACCATGTCGAGGTAGTTTGATTAATAAAAAAAAGAAATAAACAAACAGGTTTTTTTTTTCTTTTAGTTAAGGATAAATTATCAGTTAAAACATTATTAGTGATGTGTGCAAGTGAAGATGAACAAAAACAATGGATTGGGAAATTAAATAAAAAAATATCTAAACATGGAAATGTTTCAACATGATTATATATCTTCGTCAAGAGTTTTAAAATGATTTCATATTTTAAAATTATTCATTTATTTACATTATCATTTATGAGTTAATCTTTCATGATAAAATAAAAAATAAACTGTATGAAAACAGCACAACATTACATCTGCGTAGCTATTCAGAACGTGAATATGTGGATGGGTGCAGTATCTTGTGTGAGTGTATGTGTCGATACTTCTGTAAGCCTTCGCGATTATGTTGGTGTTTATGCAGAGGAACATCCACATTTACCGAGACCGGGCTCCTTTTCCTGGTTCTTTAGCAACAAAAAAGGCGCTGAATGGCATTCACAAAAAGATTTTGAGTGTTCTAGAACATTTGAAAGCCTTGTTTGAAATATGAACGGTTGAAATAATTTTCTGAATGTTATAAATAGCACTAATTTTATGTTTTTTCACATATAAAATATTCTATTGACGATGTCAACGATAATGGGTAATGGCGTATTGATTTCCCATAGTCGTCATATTATCAAATTGTAACTTTGGGAAATAATAGATAGAATGAATATATAAAACATGTTTATTTTCTTGTTAAATCAATGATTAGAATAATAAGAAGGTTAAATTGAGAAAAACATTTCTCTTGAAAAACTAGAAACAAAATTAAATAGATCCTTTCCCTGTCAACTATTTATCCTTGAAAAAAACTATAGTCTACTATAGATTTGTCACTAAACATATTTTTTATTTGTATAATGAGACGAAAGAATAGATGTGAGCTCCACATTTCATTTACAAGGAGGCTGCGCTGGCACGCTGTTACTAACGTCGCAGGCATTATAACGAAATTAGCCGTAATATTAAAAAAAAATTGCAACATTTTCGAAATGTACTCGAAGAATAGATCAATCTTGAATTTGACTAAACTCCTTGTAAATTGGTTAATATATTCAATATTCAACCGATATGTCCCTAATACTTAGGGTGTACCAAAAGTTCTGATCACGACGCTACATAGCCATATAGTAAGCTTAAAAAAAACTTTCTTTCTATATAGTCTAATAGAGAAAAGAGTGCTCTATTTTGCTATGCTATT